TACCGATCAGGGGTATCCAGAGGACTATCACAGTCCGTTGGCACTAAGTGCGCCGCAGGCGGCTATGGGGCTTGAACCCACAACCTCCTGAATGCCACTTGCATGCCTAACCAACTGAGCTAGGCCGCTGGATGACAGATTCATTTTCAGAATATGTTCTATAAACAAACTTCTTTCATATTGACATGATATGCTGGTCTGATCTGCACTTTTCAGTTTTTCGCAGTTGTTCTCGTTTCTTCTTCTTCCCTCCCTTGATTTATTTTCTCTGTTTCCACATGGTCCTTCCTCTCGTCCCCATCCCGTCAATTCATTTTCTCTGTTTCCACATGGTCCTTCCTCTCTTCCTCATCCTGTCTCCTAAGTATCATGGGTCAATGCATTCTCTTGATTTTTCCAACCTGTGCAATCCCCCTGAGGATTATACTTCTTCATTACAGCAAAGGCCTACAACCCCTAGAGGGCACCAAATCTCACAATCTTAACTGATTTATCTGCTTTCCAAGCACTCTCAGCTGATTGAACTTTGAAATTAGGAGTCTGAATACAGAATTATTGTCGGGGCAACCGGACTGATGCTCCCCCGAATGGAAAGGAGCCAGAGCCCGAAGGGTTCTGTTTTTCGGACAAAAAACAAGGAAACACGAAGGGAGGGTAGTGCAAAGAGCCTCCAAACGATATTTTGGTGAGGAGCATTCAACTGGGTTTAACATTATAGTACTTAATACACGTATCTTTTTTTTTTTTTTTTGCCGTGCTGGTTGAGAGTAAACCAGACTGAAGCTCCCCAGAATAGAAAAGGAAGCAATACCATGAGGCTATGTTATGTCAACATCATCAACTTGAAGGGGATAATAAAAGAGAAATTGGTGGGCTAATTAACCGTGAATGAGCATTACAAGGGCCTGCACTCAGTACACTGGCACTCCTAGTACTCTTCAGGGCATCTGGCATGCGTGTTATGTGACCGTCACCTGGCACATTCATACGCACACACACGACCACACGCTTCCCTCGTACACTTTCGTAATCTTGTTCGGCAACCATAGCTCGCAATTGAAGACCATGCATGAGTCCTAAGGAAAACCCGAAAACGAAGCGTAATGAAAGACAGCTAGATAGGAGGAGCTAGAGCCTAGAGGTAACCCCCCCCCCCCCAAAAAAAAAAAGAAAAAGAAAAGAAAAGAAAAGAAAAGAAAAGAAAACTTAGAAAAGGGGAAAAATTTAAAGAAAAGAAAGAAAGACAGCTAGATAGGAGCTACATGCAACTGAAAAACTAAGGGCCAGATCCCACTGGCAAAGAGGATTGGAAGAAATGTCTGAATCTGGCTGGACGTGTTCCATGCAGAGGTGCAGAAAAGTAGATCAATCACAATTTTTCGCACCTGTCCACGAGCACGTCCAGATTCAGACATTTCTTCCAACCCTCTTTGCCAGTGGGATCTGGCCCTAAGACGGAACTCTCCCTACGCCATAAACCAACCCCTGAAGATCCACAGCAGATGCGACTCAAACAAGATGACCTCCTTGGAAGACATCTCGAAACAGGAACTCATCTGCAGCTAGCGTTGCTTTTGATGATATGCACAGTCGTCACAGATTACTTTCCTGGAGGAGCTGCCACAGACAGATTTTCCGCCTCTTCTGTCTATGGCTCATACCTCGTCCGTGCGACGATAGAGTCCACCCTTTCTCCAAGGTTTCCAGACCTCCATAGCCAATCCTTGATATACGACGTCGGCGACTACGGCGTATTCGTCCTGCAGCAGCTCCTGCCACTTGAGATGGTCTTAAACACCTCTCGACAAATCTGTGGAGCCTCCACAACGTTCCTGGGTTCTGAACACAAAACAGCGCAATTCACAACTTCCTGTTACTTTTTCCGACGCAAACGACTCCTAAGAGTCCTAACGTCTTCTTCCCTTTTTTTTTTTTTTTTGTTAACACAATCGTACGGCTCTGGCTCCTTGTCCATTCTGG